GGGGGGGGGGGGGTGTAGAAAAGAAATCTGAATTGTTCATTTCAAGGTGAACAATTTAAAAAAAAAACTTTTTTTCTACACCCCCTAGTTTTAGGGGCATTGTAAAAAATATACTGCCAACCCTGAATTTTGGGGAGTGTTTTCACTTCTTCAAAGTGGATGTTGGCTAATAAGAAAAAATATGTGTGAAATATTTTCTTGAAAACTGTTTCACATCAGTTTCATCAAAATCGGCGTGTGCTGGTTGAAAGGTTCCCTCGTGAGATACAACAAACAACAATAACATTCTTCAAACAATGCGTCTAACTATCGTCTGTGGACATATCACTCAAAGAAACATTATTCGCAGGGGATGATGGGCATAGTACATATAAACCTGATATTCGGTACATCAGTTACCACTTACCGATATCAGTCACTAGTAAAAGCCGCCTTTCACCGTGCCATCAAACGAAACGACTAGCGGCAGGATAATTTTACATACATTTGTCACATTAAGCAGAAACACAAAACGTTGTATACGTTCAAATGTAACTCGGAAACGAAACCATTTCCTCCGCGCATCGCGGTTAGAGATAAACGAATTAGATAAATTTACAAAAAGTGTAAATATTACTTGTTTTCACGTGTCTTTTAATTCGTTTTATTGTTAGTATATGTTTTCGGGTTTTCAAAAATGTTTATGAACGTTATCCAACTTAGAAAAGCAAATAAATTCAACTGTGTTGAATATGCCATTTTATTTATTTGTTTAACACTGTTTCTACTGATACTTGTCTGGAGGCATCTTTTGAAACTTTAACTTCAAAATGATTTTCTCAGGTTAATCACTTTTCCTCAATTTGATTTTGGTAATTTCCTATAATTAATGTTATAATCGCCATTGGAAACGTCGAAAAGTCAATTCAGAATGTATAACTAATCCTGGGAAATAATTTTAAGTTAAAATTTTAAAGGGTGCCTTTTGACACCTTCGGTAGAAATAGTGTTAATACTAGAAAAACCGCACCCGTCAATATCACGGGTTTCAGTTTTCTTATTTTGCAACTATTGATGTCTTAAAAGCTTTAAATATACGAAATGATTTGAAAAATAAATAGTGACTTTTCAATACTATAATCAATATATGATGAAATCGAAGGAAAATCTATGGTTACAGTTTTTACAAGGATTATGTATTAATCATGTTAAACGCTCGGTTGTTCTTATGTTAAGAATACAGTGCCGGAAATATCTATGATTTGAAATTGAGCCACGTTTTTTTGTAAAATCTTATAATTAGTCTACACTAGAGATAAATTTGTGTCTGGCAGCATTTTAAGCGTAAGTTAAGCGGGCATTTAATTTATATTCGTAAAAATGATCATAACATTTTTATTTCTGGAAAAGTACAAAAATATAATCTAACAAAATTAATTGCGAAATTTCTATAAGGTCACCAATATTCTACATACATAAAATGAAAATTAGCAATATTTTTTAATTGTTTTTTATATTAATACTTTGTGTAACCATCGTTTCTTATGAATGACATTAAAAAATCAGTTTGGCATTCACAATATTAAACTTCTTAGCGTGCTTTGTTACCATTCCACGCTTCGTTCACTGGGTTCCATAATTCAGTAACAGTCTTATATCACCTGTTATTGCTGTAGATTTTTCTGGCAATTATTCTTAAAAAATTTTCTATAATGTTCGAATCAAGAGAACGAGCCATGATAAAAATCTTATATTTTTTATGTAAGAACTGTACTCTGATGCGTGAATTGCAGCATTATCACGTTGAAATATGAAATTATTAACATCTATGTTATCCTAGAAATAGTATTAACCTGTTTATTGTAAAATTTAATTTGAATAATCTCCCGTTTTGTGTCAATAACGCTAAAAAATGAAGTGTGTATTCGTCAAATGCAGGACGAATGCATATAGGGTATATTTTAATGAAAAACCAAAGCAAATCAAAGAAGAATTACATGTTTATACGAAGAAATAAATAATTTATCGTTGAAAGAATTAGAAAGGTCTGGCTTATTCCAACATTTTCGTTGATCTGCAATGTATATACCTAAAAATAGGAATAGTTACAGTGACTGGTACTGAAACCAATAGCAACAAATTGCTCGATTTAATTGGCAAGTTGGAATTGTTTATCAAAGTAGTTTGCATTCACAGAATCGAACGAAATCGAGAGACGACACAGGAAGCATAGAGACGTAGAATTCTCGTTACTCGTTGGTTCAAAACATTGAACAGGAGGTCAAGTAGATACACTCTTGGAACGTAACATTTAAGATTTTATTGGACTTTATCGCTCATTGATAGTTTCGTTGACTTCCTCACCTTTCCATTCGTCCGTTGCAATTTGAATCACGTTTAGTTTTTCAAAAATTAAATTTACATTCATTATATAAATCGCATTAAAAATTAAAAAATTAAATTCTCCAACTTAACTATTACAATCTACACAGTTATCCGATATATTTAATGTTTGGGTTTTTTCTGAATTTTAGAAAATGAAACAGGCTTCCGATCGGAAACGGAATGTAATAGAGGGTTAACATTTATTTCACGATGTCGAAGAGTTCAATAATCCCATACAGATTGGGCACGGAGTCGATACTCGAATCCACACCGGAAGACAAAAACTGATGCCCATCAAAGCTCAAAGATGGCACACAATGGTCGATGTGCGGAAAAACAGGACAAAAATAACAAAAAAACTGTTTTGAAAATGGGAAATTTCTATGTCATTTGATTTATTGTAGTCTAATACATATAATTGTCACATTTTTTTATTTAACCTTTTTTATAACCGAAAACCTGAAGTATTTACAAATGATCCAAATCTTGAAAGTCATTTTTCTTATCCGATAATATACCGAATAAATATGTACCATTTTACGCTTTAAGATGACGTGCACACTCATCGAACGCAGTTAACATGTCCAGTGCCACGTGCACCATATACGATACATAGTAATTTTTGCAAGAAAATATTTTTATGAGACACGTAGCCAAGAATAGCAGTACACGTGACAAAACAGTAGGAACATGAAGGAATGGTATAAGAATATGTAAAAGTCACCAAAAACTCAAATATAACTTAACACTAGAACTACCGAACTATAGAAACTTCAACACTGTTACGATTGAGATTTCTATTAATTTACAATTCAGTTTGCCTATTGCTAAATTAATTTCTGTAGTAATTTCGCAGAGAATTGTCTGTTATCTTTTTAATCATTGTAAGAAGAAGAAATCAGGAATGGATTATTTTGACATCTCTGGCAGTTCTAGTGTTAACATATTATTTAAAAAATCGATATACTTTATAAGCAAAATATAATTGAAATTTGCGGTGTCATGGAACATGTTAACTAGTTAAGTTAAAATTTCAGAAGGTGTCTTTTGACACCTACGTAGAAATAGTGCTAACTACATAGTTAACTGCCTTTGACGTGTATACACGTCATCTTAAAGCTTCAAATGGTACTAATTCTTTCAACGATGAAGTCCTTATTTTTTGAGATAAACATGTAATTCTTCTTTACTTTGCTTTGGTTTTTCAGTAAAATATACCCTAGATGTATTCGCCCTGCATTTGATGAGTGCACACTACATTTTTTTATTTTATCGTGCACAAAACGAGAGATTTTTCAAACTAAATGCCACAGCTAACAGGATAACCATTTTCCCACAATTGAATTTTGAACATTTCTTACAGTTAATTTTATAATCATTATTGGAAAAATCGAAGAGTCAATTCAGAATATACCACTAAACATAGAAAATAATTTTAAGTTAGAATTTCAGGCGTCTTTTGACACCTTCGGTAGAAATAGTGTTAACCCTTTGCACTCGTATGTCGTGCTTGAGAGGACAATACAAATTTGAAAATTGTTTGGAAAAGTACGACACTTTAAAAGATTATAAAAACGAAATCTTATAATAATAATACATGAAATAAACCTAAAACATTGAATTCTACCGCTGTAAATTACTTTAATTCATTTCCCTAAAAATAAATCAAAGTTTACACCCAACAACATTGAAAATAAATCGAATGTAAAGGGTTAATCGACCACTGTGCGCCGTTACACCGTTGGCATGTAACGTGCCTTACCTATCCACAGTGTAAAACAAGAGTACATAACCGTCGGTGCACACCGTCTAAATCTCGCGGCGAATCGCGCCGGGAGAGCACTTGATTCGCACTTGTCGAGAGCGATCGCTTCAATATTCCGGAAAAGAGAGGGACAGCAGCGCCGGGTAGAAAAAGAGACGTGGATAGAGAGCGCGAGGGCTGTAGGGAATTAGAGAAGGGTGGACGGATAACAGGACAGAGGAAAAAGGAAACAGAGAGTTCCTCGATTGCCGTTAACGACAACCAAGAGATTATCCAGTTGAGAGTGCGAGATCCTATAACGCGATGCAGCTAGTTACTACATAGGTTTCGTCGTTTGCGAGCGTCGCCGTCGCGCCGCTCCCTTTCCACGTCGCCTAAACACTCGAGACATCGAATATCCAATAATTTTCGTATGTTTTGTCGCAAAACTCGTAGTTGACACGTTGATTGCCACGTTGATGTCACTCATAACCGGAGTTTCCGAATTGAGAACGATTGCGACAAGAAGATCGTTGCGGACTAAAGGGGTTTAGTAACGTAAGTAGCTAGACAACCAAACTTGGAAAATTGCGCAGAAGAACCACGATGTGAGAAATATGTATAAATGGGGTACAGTTCTTGTAACGTTTAGGAAAAACCATTTGCCATTGAGATTCTATGTCTGTGCGTTAAAATTTGAATTTTCGTGAAGAATGGTCTGTAGACAAGGGTGTTAGGTAGGAACTGTGAGAAATTATTGATTATTGTTTCTAGTGTTATTTATTTTCGATATGCAACAGCACTATATATAAAATGCTTAGAATTCTCGTGGCAGTGAATGTGTTAAGGAGTCATAACGTAAACAATCTAATATTAAATTGTTTAACACCTTGAACTTCCGTACACGTCAAAATGGCGAGTTTTAGTTCTCTTATTTTATAATTATCGATATTTTGAATGTATTCAATATCCAGAATGGTTTTAGAAATAGTTTCACTTAAATGCTGTAACAAATATCTGAGGACATCGAGAAAAATGTGTAGTTATTGGGTTGATGCAAAAATGTTGTCGCTTGTACATGGTTCGTAGACAAATTTGTTTCTTCGAAACAAATAACGTCTGCTTTCAAACTATTATAAAGTATATAAAGGACGCTTCTATTATTATATAATCTAAGTAATTTTTATAAATATTATCCCTTTACAGTCGAGAGACGATTCTCGGTCACCATTTAAAATTCAATTTTCAATTTGATATTAATCATCAACACGTGGCTCATAGAAATAAAATACTTCCCACCTGTAGTTTATGTATGAAAATAATGAGTGCTTACAGTGACAGATATTGTCGAGTGAAAAGAGTTATTACATAATGGACATATTAAATAAAGGACGTCAAAAATTTTGCATCAACCCAATACAATCTTTATAAGGATTACATATCAACCCTAATAAATGCTCGATAGTTCCAGTACTAACTTACCGAGCAGTTAAACTGACTTGAAATTCCTCTGTAAAAACTTCAAGAGCGCATCTGTTAAGACTTGAATTGATTTATAATTCACATTACGTATTGTTAAATCAATTTTTTTAATATTATCTCCGAAAAATCTGTTATCTTTTTAATAATTGCAAAATGAAAAAATGAGATACGGGTCATTTTGACCTGTCTGGTAGTTTTAGTGTTAATTGTGTTGCGTAGCTTTTTTTTTGAAAGGAATATTGAGTGTTGACGACGCATAAGGCATTAACGTGTTGACGTGGATTATTCTCGTCTAACCGTTTTCATTTGGTAACAGGTAAAAGAAACCCGGAAAATCGGTCGATAAAAAACAATCGAACGAAGAACACATCGAAACCGTGGTCATTGTCACATGGAGACAATGCACGGCTGACAAGAGGCGGGCGACGAGCGAAGATAGAGGAGTGCTGCTGACGCGAGACGAAACGGATGAACACGGTGAAACTATGCTGGTACATTTTTCAACACCGCTTTCGGTCGAAGGTGAAACAAATTTAATCTTCGGATTATTTCTTTGTCGATTATTAACCCCTTGACATACAACATCGTTTCAGACTTGTGATGAAAATTTTAAACTGCATTTGACGAATCTAAGTGTTATTTCTTTCATTCTTTAATATAAATTAAACATTACTTTTCTATTATCAATTGTTGACCTTTTGAGTAGACGTAGAATAAGCATCAACATTTTTCCTTTTCCTAATGGATTATTAACGATAGAGTAGTTGTATCGAACATAGTTGAGAAATAAATCATAAGGCAAGGGGTTAACCCTTTGCACTCAAAAGTCTTCTTTACTGTAAATATTTATGAGTGCTTAATGAAATATTGAAATACATTCGATGACGTATTTGACAACTAACGCAAACAAATTCATATATAAATTAAACAACAGGATTATTTTAATTCAATGTTCCATATGCTATTATTTACTTATACACGATTTAGTATTGAATATAAAATTTTATAATTTTGCTGCGTCGAATTAAATTATATTTGAAATATGTTACTCGAGTGCAGAGCTAAAAGTTCTTTTCATAAAAAACCGAATCGTGCATCGAAGTTTTATATACTAGAAAAGAATGATAACAATACGTCAATTTTTCGATATTTGAATACTTAAAATATTTATTCGCAACCTTTTTATTTTAGATGCTACAGCACAAAATCGCCATTACAGTGTTGTTCGATCATAAAGGGTTACAATTTTCTTTGAGATATTTTTTAGAATAAATTTGAAAGATACTTGTGGAAAACACAAGTGCCAGATGAGAAGTTCGCAGCTCAAAATGGTTAATTCCACTTTTTGAACGTTCCCAAAGTTATTTGTTGCAATACTTAATCAGATTTTTTATTTATGTACTATGATCAAATTTTACTGCTTCTCGTTTTGTGGAATTGGTCACTTCAGTAAATGAACAGTTTAAATATCTAATTTTTCAGGAGGTAAAGGATGTTATTTTTTAGAACTATTGGTGACTATTTACACAAGAGAAATTACATATCGTATATCACAGTATGTATTTTCATCGTTATATACAATACTTTTCGATAAAGAACAAAATTTTCCAGATTTGGCGTTTGGAGTTCTTTTTTAATAAGTACTGTTATAGAAAGAACTCACTGAAACACATTAACTGGCCAAATTCTTATTAATATAATGATATCCTGATACTCACATTAGCCTTTGTTATCAAAATTGAAATACTTGTGGATTTGTCTTAAGGTCGACCGAGGCGAATCGGATCAGTTCAGATTTAACAGCGAAAGACTAATAGTTAAAACGTAGAATAAACATTTTTTTCGTAAATTTCTCATTAAAAGATATTCAGCTTCGATATCAGTAAAAAAAATCTTTAAAAATCTAAAAATCTTCGTTTTATAAGTAAAAACCTGAAAAATTAAAAATATCCGATTCACTCTAAATTTGTATATTTTTATTATGGAAGTTGTCCTAATTTTATAAAAAGTATCAATAATTTTATTTACGAAAATTAATGTATGAACAGTTTAGAAGATGAATATTTTTGATAGTATTCAGTTCAGCCAGTGACTGGTGTCTGTCGTAATAGTGTGTTAGTTGAACAGCTGAGCGCGATAACCGGAATAATTTACGTAAGCAATAAAAATAGGAAACAGTGTTTGATGAACGTTAAAGCATTAGAACATTCTTTCTAGACTTTTACGAGAACCATTTCCTAGTTTATTTAAATTCTCAGTGACATTAGGAAATTCTACCAAACAGTTTCCTTTGAGTTACGAAATCCATACCACCAAATTGATTCTGATAAATTCGAAATCGGTATATTCTTGTAGTGTTTAAAAAGTATTCTACGATACCTATTTATTAAATTTTATACATTGTCAAAGGAACAGATGCGGTAATTGTTAAAGCAGAGAAAATATTATTGAATTTTCATATTTGAAAATGTTTTTCATCCTTGGTTAACAAAATTTTTAGAACACATTTATATTTTCTAATGACACTGTAATCAAAAGTTTCATATTAATTAACATTAGACATTGAGTTGTAAATTTAGATTATTTATTATATTATATCGTGAATAGATTGAAATACAAATTTGATATTTGGACATTAGTGTAAATAGCACTTCTTAAATTAAGTTGTACTTTTCGAATAGTAAACTGTTTTATAAATATATAATTAAATACAAGTATCAATATTTGAAAAAGTAGCTTCATTAAAGTTTAATAAAACGTAATCTTTCGATGTTACGTATTTTAGAAAAAATGTATTCGTTACCTTTTCGTATCAAAACGAAACTTGGATACATTTCGTTGATGACGTTACGTGGGACGATTTCGTTATTAGCGGCGTACCGGAAATTATGAAGTATCGGCGAAACAGTTATTCCATTTCCGCCAATCATCGCCTCGTTTCATTATCCAACTCACCCTCTCCTTCCTGCAAATGGTTTTTTGCGTCTCATGGAGTCTCACTGATGGCATAAATTTTCCAATTTAAAGGCAACATTGTAGCATTACTTACAGTAATACCTTGAAATTTTTAATTTTATTCGTCTTTAAATAATAAATATTATATTATATTATAAAATAATAAAAAACAGAACATAAATATATCTGTTAAAACAGGAAAGAGAAAAACGTGATCCAGACAAAAAATAATAATATTTGAAAGAACAAATACCGTGATATAAATGAATTCCTTGTTTCGCGTTATTTTCAAGCTGATTTTAAAATCACCGATATTTTCCTAAATGGTGTCACGTATTTTTAATTTTATAGCGTTATAACTGATATTGAGACAAGTTAAATGAATTAGTATACTATGACCTTGAAATTATCTTGAATTTAGAAATCTGTTTACTGCTGTACCTCTCACTTTTATAGCTTTCTTATTATTTTAACTTTGTTTGGATAATTTTCTTCTGTTACCTGCTCCGCGTGACTCACTCTGAATACAAAAACAATTTCAATATAAGAGAAATTAATTTATTGAATATCAATTAACGAATTCCCTTTTATCAGGCATAATACTTATAAAAACATAAAAGGGTATTTCTATTACATTTTCAGTTGTCTATATAGAAATTGTCTGTATAGAATCTTCTTGATTTTCTACTCAGGAACTTACGACGTTTCTCAAATGAATTGCAGTTTAATATGTTACTTTAATCATTTATTTAAGAACAATTCCGAAGCCCTACAATTGTACTCACACATGATACAATAAAAATATTACTAATAAACCTGTTAATTGCGGAATTTCGTTCGAAAAGTCTTTCGCTTTGCGCGCAATAAAGTTAAAAAATGAAGTGTGCATTCGTTAAACGCAGGACGAATGCACCTAGGGTACTTTTTAATGAAAAACCAAAACAAAATAAAAAAGAATTACATGTTTATCTGAAAAAATAAGAAATTCATCGTTGAAAAAATTAGTAGTATTTTGTGTTTTAAAATGTGTATACTCGTCAAACGCAGTTAACTGGTTAATTGTACACACGATATAAAAAATTAATAAAGCACACAGCTATTGAAAACTTAACATCAAGTCTATCTTCACACACGACCACAAGGGGCTAACAATCTCACAACCCCTTCACACTCCAACACACCCACTCCCAAACAATTACCTCACAATGCCAAATCATCTGAACAAAAGAAAAATTCCTTTTCATTTCTAAAAGCTGATAAGGTTTCCTCGAACGCGAACCCGTAAAAGCTAGAATAGTAATTATAACTGTGATGTATCCAAGAAGAGATGTTTGCGAGAGAACGTGACGTTCGAAGGTTTCAGTCGCGCGCCCAATTAGCCAGCCGCGAGGCGTTTCCAGCTACAAAAATGCTGTTCGACGACGTTCGACGCATGGCCTTCATGCGATCTATTCCGAGAACGCTGCCAAAGGAGGTTTTCTCGCCAGCTTAAATCAAAAGTCCCCTACGCTCCTCCAAAGCGGACCAGGTGAAAGAGAAACGCGGAGCGTTGCGTGTTACCCTGTTCCTTCTTTTTTCTTCGCAGGATATATCGAGCGGCTATACGAGGAAACCACGGAGTAATGATCAGAGCTACGCGGTCGTCTGGGGTGTTGACCGCGAATTCGAGACAGGCGATTCGCACTGGGCCCGATTGCCGATGTAGATTCCGCTTCACGGGCGACTTCGTGCTGAGGATCCTCCTCGGCCTCTGCTACATCACCGGCACCTGTTGCGACTGGAAGGAGAGGATGCCGCGCGGTACCAAGGAACTGAGGCTAGCCCTACGACGGCAGAACGAGCTCGGTTACTGCGATTTCGATGTAGCCTGCAACTGGCCCTGGAACACTACTAGACTTGATCAAGATCACAGCTTCGACTTCAAAGTGGCCACGCCGGGTGACATTAAATACGGGCCGAGGACGGACGCAAGTCACACGATGGATGGTAAGATGAAAGAGATTAGGGGATGGAGTTAGACTGCTTTCTCACGACGATTCTTGAGTCGCGATTTACTGCACGCTTCTCACGTTAGCTCCATCGACCAACAAGCTGAAAGTGGACAGAGGCAAGGGGACTTTTCCACTTAGGATGCCCGGATCACTTCGGCGTTCGATGTATAGACCAAGCAAGACCGATTGCGGACATTTTATATGAAGAAAATGAAATTAATGCTGTAGATATTGTTAATTAAAGTTACAAGCTATGGCATTATTGAGTTCCTAAATTCTAAATATAATAAAATACTGAAAAAACAAAACTAAAACAACTCATTGGGTTTTTAAATATGAGTTGTTTTAGTTTTGTTTTCTTCAGTATTTTATTTAGAAAATTTGTTGAATTGAATGAAATATCACAATTGTGAAGACCGTCTCTGAAGCTCACGTTAGTAGCGAACGCTTCTGTCCTTCGTTATTGCCGCGCGCCAATAATGACCATGCGTCGAAAGTCCAGACAGCCTGAACATCGTGAGTGAGTGAAAGAATCCTCTTGCCTCTGTGCACTTTTAGCTTGGTGGTCGATGGAGCTAACATAAGAGGCGCATAGTACGTCGCCTGATATGCAGGATAACGTTACCTGATATGCAACACCTTCAATTTTCTATTCTCTTTTTTGGAAGCTTTAGCTCCAAATGTGTCAAATGTTTTGACAGGAAATTTTGAAGGCCAATGCAATACTTGGACACCGTTCGCCGTTTTTCACTTCAAAAAGTTATGATTATCAACAACTGACCTTCCGACGTCCTCCAATTTGGAATTCTCAGATTCCTAACGGGAATTTTGACTGCAATTAAAGTCTATTCGTGAATATCTTACTATTAAGAACTTATTAGGACATTGCATAGGAAAGTATAGGACAATGGTGCCTAATATGGAACACCTGATTTGTAAAGCTTGCCAAAATGAGAGATATGCGTTTTTTTCAATGAAACCTGCATCGAAACACGAAAAAATTAATAAACATTCATACACTGGTCGATAATGGAAAAATTTAACTGCCTTTAAACCACGGTATAAAATGTAAATAAAGTCGAAAACAGTGATCTAGAAAAATGGTTCCTAATATGGAACACCTAGATAATTTGTAACTAAAACTGATTTTTATCGCGAGAAATGAATATTTACGAAATAAGAAAGATAAATAAACGAATTTTACACCTTTTCCAACTTATATGATGTGAATTTTTTTCTATCTTTTCTTTTCGGGACCACTACATTCTTCGTGAACACAATGCAATAGACGTATTTTTTTTTTATTATTATCACTTTTGTAATCGCCACCATAAAATAAAACAATAACATAATAATATGTAACATTAACGAAGAATATGCACTCAATATGGAACTTGTTCCATATTAGGAATCTACATTAAGAAATTAGACAATGTAACTCGTCTTTCAGAAAATGTAACGCACTACCAAACACAATAATGCTCCGCATTCGATCGCAAATTCTTAATTGATGTCTAACTATTAATATGATTGTTTTCTATTACTAATGAAGTGTTTCCCATGGTAACTGACGCATCAAGCTATTTATTCTTTGAAATATTATGGTAGTGACCATATTAGGCGCTGTTACCACATATATTTTTAATACCATTTTTAAAATAAATAATTTTAAAAATAATTTTTTTCTATGGATAAATCAGTAATTAACTAAAATTTTAGCAATTTAGTCATTTAAGTAAGTTCGTGTAACGTGAATAAATGTTAATTTCAGTATGTAAAATTATACATTTACATTAATACAATTCTGTTATTTATTTATTAATTTATTTATTTATGTTAAATATTGTACGCCAAGTAATAATAGAAAGAATATTATCACAAGTAAACAGTCACATCAGTAAAAATGTCGAAGAGTCACAAGTACTTGTTAATCATCTGATATTGAACATGATCGACAGCAATTAGGCCTAATTCAAGTAGAATTCGTGCGCACTGGCAATAGAACTGTCGCGTGATAATTTATTCACTATTATCTGTACTCATTGTTATCGTTCGTTTCAACTTGAAACCTCGTTAAAAATACCTATCTGTTATATTTATCATTTTTGTATGTACGTCAATTGTACATTTGACATGTATGTATCATTTTTTGTATGTACGTCAATTGTACATTTGACATGTATGTATCATTTTTTGTATGTACAATTGACGTACATACAAATGTACAATTGCGTAAAAATTTATTATTTTCTTACATTTAATTGCCGAAACTGATGATTATTTCTTACATTTCTATTAATCGAGAACTATACAGGAACAAATTTATTCTTTCCACACTGATAACCTGTGTTTTCTATAGGCATTCACATAAATTCTTGCACTCCAAAAACTTTGAATACACGTAGATAAACGTGTTGTACTCTAAGAAAATTAAATATTATTTTACTAAATTTTTTATACAAGAAATATTAAATTAAATATTAGATTGGTAAGAATTTAACACGCTCATTCTTTCGTTGTTCGTTGTATGATACAGTCGATAGCAATCGAAAGCTAATATTATTGAATTTAGATGTTTAAATCGGAATCGTAGGAAAAATAAATATTTATTAGGATTGAAGTTGAAATTCATTTCCAGCAGCCTACATTTTAAGTTTCAACTTGAGCATAACGCCACGGAAGTTCATAGAAATTTATGTTCCGTCTTTGGATCATCTAAAGTTGAAGTGCGTATGGTCCAAAAATGATCTTTATTATACTTCTTTATGGTCACAGGATTGTCTTTATATCCGACATAAATGATCTAGTTAATATCTGAATGAAAATTCTAGAAAACAATGGCCAATATACCACTAATTAATTTTCTTTTCAAGATTAAACATTTAAGATCGAAAATTAAATTTTCTCTAAAAAACGAGTAAACTTTCTTGCCAATTTAATAGCTATCAGCATTAGAACTACCGAGCAGTTAAATCAACTTTTTCAAATTCTTCTATAGGAACTCTAAGAGTGCATCTATTGACATTTCGATTGACTTATCAATTAGTTTGCGTATTATTAAATCAATATTCTTGGTAATTTCTCTGAAAAGTATCTGTGGAAAGAATTACATACTAATTATGATACAAGAATTTAGAAATAGGTCAGTTTGACCCATTTGGTAATTCTAGTGTTAAAGAGGTAAAAGATAAGAAAAATTTTTTATTTAATTTTGTCTTCTGTAGGACACTTTCTGTGGTTCACCGGCCCCGGGAAGATGCAATTGTGGTCTTCCACTATTCCGCAAACCAGTTCGAGTTGTGTGTTGGAAATAGCTTTATATCAGATTGAAATGAGGGATGGTGCTATCAGTTTAGTCATAAACAGAAATAATACAAGCTCAATTACTACGGAGAAAGCCGGGAATAATCGTGAAAGGTACGTAATTGTTATTAAATTGCTAATGTGGGGTAGACGAGTCGGTTGTGGTCATTACACCGGTTTTGGTCATTTTCATAATTACATCGTAATTGGTACACAGGTAGCCAGAAACGGTGAGCCATGAATTCTTTACGATTTTTACAATGTATTTTTACAATGTATTGTATTATCTAAACACAAGTTGAAAAACCGTTAGAATTGCCACAAATTATGCGCCCACCCTATGAAAAGGAAAAGAAATTAATACTGAAATTAATTGGATATTATAGATGGGAGGAAACGTGGTTTAATCTACGCGCACTTAGTCAGCCGTATAAACTTTTAATAGAAATGTCGGCACCATATCCTAACTCCAGTATTGGTGTCGACAACATTCGTTTGTCCGATTGTTTCACAGGTGAGTGTCAATTTTTTTTTAATAAGGAAAACACGAATTCTTATCCTCGAATATAGATGTCTGTCTAATAAAAACTTCTTATTGAAACTTATAAACTACGCTTATGTTTAGGATTTCATTTTCCATTTATGTGCATCATTTTCTGTTAATTTGCAATCTAAATATTAACAGCATACTCTATTCAATCATTCTTTTTTTATTTTTAGAATTAATATCAATAGCATGATCTATTCAATTATTTTTTCTCGTTTATAAAATTAATTCCGCATTTGCAAAATTAGTACCTATCAATAGAATATGGTATTAAATGTATCTTTCTCAATTGCAAAATCAGTATCAGTAGCACAGTCTATTCAACTGTTTTTTTCTCGTTTGCCAAAGTGATACTTATCAGGTAGCATACTCTATCCAATCATTTCTTTTTCATTCGCAAAATTAATGCTTACCAGCAGTATACTTTATTCAACAGATCTTTTTCATTTGCAGAATCAGTATCAGTAGCACACTCTATTCAATTGACTCTTCTCATTTGCGTAATTAATATCAGTAGCATACTCTGTCCAATCGATTTTCCTCCGTTAGCAAAATTAACACCCACAATACACACTTCGTTCTATGAATTCCCCCTCGTCCACAAAACTAACACCGGTAACACACCCTATTCGGATCGATCTCTTTCCGTTTTCCAGAATTAACACTGGTCCCGATAAAATGCACGGAAAACACGTTCCGTTGCAAGAACGGTCAGTGTGTGAACAGAACACAGGTCTGCGACCTAAAAAAAGACTGCGACGACGGCGAAGACGAGATTCCTGAATGCGGTAATTGGCAAATTATTGCTTTCCCTTTTCAGTTCCGTGCCCGGTTCGCCGTGTGACAGACTATAATCGAAAGGGCGTGTTTCAGACAAAATACCGGAGCACGCCAGATGCAATTTCGAAGACGGTTGGTGCGGATGGAAGAACGTACCGGGGAAACCTTTAAATTGGACCCTTTTTCGTGGCCCAACGCCGTCCGACAAGACTGGACCTAGTTTCGATCATACGTACGGCAATGCGTCCGGTAGGTGTAACTATATCTACTAGACTCTACACGTGGCACGTACACTACCGTTCAAAAATATCTGATTACTTGCCCGGCGATCAATGAACTTGGCTTGTTCAGCAAAACGAAATGAGAACTATTTCTACCAGACTCTATACACTTCAAGTTAACTCGACAATATTCTTCATTATAAATATTTCTTATTTTCTAATGAAGTATTCATGATATTAGTTGCAAGTATCGGCGATCGATGAACTTGGCTTGTTCAGTGAAACGAAGTGAGAACTAATGTTACTAGACTGCATATACTCCGAGTTAACTGGACAATATTCCTCATTGTAAATATTCATTACCTTCTAATGAAATATTCATATGATATTAGTTGTAAGTATCGTAAAAAGAATCTTGCGTATGTTAAGAGAACTATTTTATTTCTATGTTCATGTGCTGACATCTTAACCTTTTGCCCTGTATCTCTCTTAACTATAATCAATGGAACTACTTTGTCGTCAACCCTTTGCACTCTATAGGTTCCATTTACAGTATTAAATATTTGAACAAAGTTGAAGAAACTACCCTAAAAATATTGCTTCACCGCACATACAAATGTTGTCTTAAAAAGGAAAATGTACAATCTAAGAAATTTTATATCATTTTTGAATATTCACCAGGGATATTATAAAAATAATTGAAGTTACTGGTAGATTACAAAATCGATTGGAGTGCCACGGGTTGTACGTGTCAACAACTCATTGAAAATTGAAACAAATTCTAGACATATTCTGTGTCTATGTTTGTTCTAGAATATAATAATTGATAACAGAAGAATAATATTTAATTTCGATTTATAAGAATCGTGTAATATTTATATTTTTTAAATTTTCTACAAAAACTTCGCTACGAGTCTGATACATTATTATACGGTAAGCGGTTAAAAAAAATCTAATATTGAATTTTACATTTTACAATTCTGTTGTGTTGGATCGAATGACGACTGTGAGAAGCTTATCGAATACAAAGGGTTAATATTATTGAACAGAAAGTTTTGTCGACGAAATTCTTATACATTCTGTGAAACATTTTTTAATCCTTAACTACTGATACTGACCTCGGAGAAATAACGTAATTTCAAAGTTAATGAATAATTAGAATTAGAATAAATACTGTTGACTTATCTTTCTGTTTTGATTGTTAAGGTAGATATAATTAACACATTGCGTACCGGGAACGAGAAATCTCGTTTTCATTTAATTCTATTAGAACTGATACTCGTTTAATACTTACGAAATAATAAGATATTTGAATATTTTTCATATAGTGATATATCACGAACTTATGAGTTGATTTCATTGAAAAATCGGCCAGTTTTCTAAGCATTAACCGGTACGCAATGTGTTACAATATAAGCTCCTCAAACAAAATTCAAAATATCGGTAATCGGAAATATATAACTCTAATGCGAACGTATTAATATAGTGTAGGGTGGATTTAGTACATTTTTTATTAATTATATTTATTTTTACTTATTTTTAAAATTAATTATCAAAATAACTTCTCATAAATTCTATCATATGTGTTTGTTAAGTAAACCACGTCCACTTCTCAATCTTGATATTTTCAAAAGAGATACATTTTTATTGTTATTTTTTATATTATTTTTTACTACCCCAATGATCCATTTTGTTCATGCACAATGTAAATCTTTTCTATAACTAGAATAACGGAACATTATTTATTTGTAGGAACATACGCGTACGTAAATATGTACAAGCGACTTGGATTAGGCAGTTCCAGTACTCTCGAAAGTCCGATATACAATCCAACGCCGCCTTACCACAACGATGAAAAAAGTCCTTATTATAAAACCTGTCAGGTAAGCTATGTCTTTACCACTAAATAATACAGTTTTTTTAATTTTATTCAATACTTTTACATTGTTTTAAATATTTCATTTAATATATACTTCAAAAGCTAACCAAATGAATAAACTAAATAAATTAACGTAATGAACTAATACAAACAAGTTTCTTTACTCCTTATATTGGGAATAGAAGAAATCCGATTTAGATTTGAATTTTCTCACATAGTAATACACTTGATGTTCTTGATTAAATTTTTGTACTCCGAATTTGATTTATATTTCCTGTCCAATAATTTTACATTACTTTAAATATTTGATTTAATACGTATTTCAATTTTTTTTACTAATTGTATTGTAAATAAGGGAAATTTGATTTAATTTTATTTAATTTTATTTATTTAATTCTTAAGTGTAATTACAAAATTTATTTACAATTATTAATTGATAATTCAATTACGATTAAAGTAGCATGTGTATTTTATTTCAATTTGCACGTGGATCTACAGGTACGTTTCTTCTATCATCAATATGGCACGCACAGTGGTTCCCTTGCACTGTATTTAGTTCAAATGAAACCTCATCAGAATCATTCGGTTCAGTTATGGCGGATCTACGGTGATAAAGGCAACAAATGGCACAATGACGCAGTTACGTTACCGGACATAAAATATAGGTACTGTCATAGATGACGTGTACAAAATTTGCAAAACAATATCTTTGTTCTTACGTATAGCTTCAAATAAAATAAAAAAGCCACGACAAATATGAAATAGTAAAAGAAAAAATAGCTGTAAATTAATCCAATATTATCTAATAACGAATTTTCTAGAGAACAGTTATTGTGCTTTAATATTTTTAGCTTCAAATTACGCGAGATATGCGAGGGAAAGCTTTTGAAAGCTTTAACAGTTTTTTCTGTTTTTTACAGGTATTTTTTGCAATTCGAAGCAAACAAAGGAATATCCTCAACGGGTGATGTAGCGATCGACGACGTCTCGTTGAGCCCTGAATGTTTTGGCATTGGTAAAATTAAAAATATTTAATGATTGTAACAATATACAGTATTCTCGCGATTAGTGCCCGATAGTCATGCTCACCACCAAAGGGCGAGTCTCTTCGGCAAGCGACGAAGCTACACGATCGAGCAGTTGAAATATGATACACTGTTCAATGATGTTGATGTCAGTGAAACATTATTCATGCAATTATAAAACGTTTTTGGTCTTTTGTAAATGAAACTTTTACTAACGCATTTGTGAGATTCTTCTGGTTAAAACAACACCGAATGTGACTTATTTTACGTCATAATTTATTGGAAGAAAATAAATTATTGTAATTTATTAAATAAGAAAATATGTTTTAAAATATATCGTGTTTGATCTCGTTTTAATGAGAAAAACCTTACAACTCAATTAGTAAAAGTGAAAAATAAAATAGTTTAACATTGCATTAATATCCCCTCATTCATCTGTTCGTTTGATCGTTTCGAAGATCGGGCGTCTCGCTTTTGCACTCGCGCTGTCCTTTTCTACGGAGAACAAACAACAGCACTGCATAATTATTGCTCGGTTGCTGTTCCGATTTTTGGGTACTAATCGCGAGAATATTGTATGCACTTTTAAGTTATTTATACTATGTTTTACTTTACTAGGGGTTCCTCCTGAGGTCGTTCGAGATTTCGATTATTACCATCCTTTTATAGAGTGGGAAAGGATTCCAGATCAGCATGTGGATTTTATAAACGGAACTGGTAGTGTATAATGTGGTAACTACATAGTTATTAGACACAAAACTCGTAAATTAATCAATTACAGAAAATTTTACTGAAACAAATATATCACTGAAAATTTACATTATAAACTAAGGTGTACATACTAATTTTTCCTTGCGTCAGTTTTGACAAAGAATGGATTTTTTGTTAAATAGACCAATTTTTAGTTATCCGGCTAACAACCTGCGGTGCCAAAGGAAGGATAGGACCCACGGTTGAGCAATGTGCCAAGGAATACAATAGTACAGACATAGAATTAATTGTACCACCAACGTCGCTGCGAGATCCCTCCTTTCCTTTAAATGGTGTTCAAAGATGGACAGCACCTCACGGTGGATATTACACGTATGAATTCTGCTTAAACCTTGTCTCCTTTATTTAACCCCTTCAAACCTGATTTTCGTATGAAATTACGTACGCTTTCCTAACAACAAAAGACTGCCATTCGATGCAACAACAATAATGACACATATTTTGAATAATGTGTGGTAGTTTACTACTTCTATGATAGAAATAGACTCAAATATAGGGTGTATATGGTTGTCTGTCACAATTTTAACACTAAAACTACCAGATAGGTCTAAATGACCCATTCCTGATTTCTTCTTTCTGCAATTATTAAGAATATAACAGATGTTTCTCAGAAAAATTATTAAAGAAATTGATTTAGCAGTATGTAACTGAATTGTAAGTCTCAATAGATGCACTCTTGGAGTTTCTATAGAGAAATCTCAAAAAGTCAATTTAACAGCCCGGTAGTTTTAGTGTTAATATTTCATCAGATATTGAAGATAATAAAAGAGTAGACATTATGATGTGCGTCAGGTCTGAAGGGGTTAGTAAATCTACAGGGTGTCCTATTTAAGCATAGTCCTCCCAAATATTTTTTAATTATGAGAATACAGAAAACATCTTATACGTAATTTCAATGAATTTAAAATTTAGGTGTGGTATTTTTTTATGAATTTAATTCTTAGTATCTTTGAAGTTTAAGATCATTTGAAGGTCACGTCTGAAACGTATCTGAATGTATTTTTCATGAGCTACGTAATGTAATAGAAAGAACTAATTAATTATTTGCCAAATAAACATCAATGAACTCGACAGCTCTGGAAAAAGCAATTTTCGAAAAAACCGACATTTGCAAGATATTCAATTGTATTTGAGTTATTCAAACTATATGTATAATGTCTTCTGCATTCCCAGAATTATAACAAATATTTGAGAGTCATGCTTAAATCAAGACACCCTGCATAAATAAAATTTGTAAATATCCAAATTGTATTTCGTTGATTTGAATTCTAGTTTGATTGGAGTGGGTGCGCGTGGAGGTAAAGGATCTAGTGGAAAGGGTGTCACGTTGGGTGCCCTTGTTCGGGGGGTGCTTTATCTGGAAAAGGGTGCACAATTGTATTTCATGGTGGGACAGGCAGGATCGGACGCATGTCCAAAAGTATGATTTACATAATATTTACAGGAAATTAATGTTCCCTATATTTATTAACTCTTTGTGGATGAATATCGACATTTTGGAGACAAAACTGCCATGTCCGAGATACAAAATTAGCTTCGCATAATTTAATTATTCGAATAACAAAAGATCGATGCATCTTTCTCTTTTTTTCTGCTGTGTGGGAATTCTGTGCATAATTTAAGTAACTGTCTATGTTGAAAATTTTGTATGTATTGAAAAATCATCGTCAGCAAAGAGTTAACTATGCAACACATAAACTAGTTCAAAACGTTTACTTAATAATGAATTATTAACTTTCTTGCCAATCAGTGTTACTATATTTTTAAATAGATTTTTTATTTAAGTATCATTTCTATGTTTTCAAATCTTTAACGAAACTTAAATCTTGTTTAGTTGAACTAAACCAAAATTTGATTTTTCTCGTTACAATACTTGTAATACAAATTTATAAATTTATCTACTAATTAATAGCTCATTATAAAAATATGTGATATGTATATAAATCAAAAATATCATTCATTATAATTTCTAGAATTTAGATCTCACAACAGATAGTTGCCAAACTGCTGGACAAATGTACGGCTCGTATTTAGGAATAACTTCCAGTGTTCGCGATGTGAAGAACATTAAGATAAAAGATGGCGGAGGTGGTGGTGGTGGGGCAACGTATATCTTCCAAGTAAGCAAATGTTTTCTATTCGTTTGCCTTTGAATCAACTGAAAAATATTGGCAAACGTTAATTCATTCGGATAATGTTTATAAAACCATAAACTTGTTAAGTTTTATTATGCAATAATAATTAATTAAAATATTAAAGAAAATAAACGATTTTTCAGCTACAAATGGACTTATTCTACTTTCAAAGAAAACATTTTTGCGATAGCATTTTACAGATAAACGTCTTTTAGTTTATTTATGAAGCTATCGTATGTCATTGATTGTGTGATTATAAATATAAACAGGTGATATCTATATTTCACTAAAACCACCATTAACTTATTTTTCTCATAAAATGGACTTATACCACTTTAAGAAAAACTTATCAATTTAATTAGTAGATTAATCGTATTTTATTAGATTTAATAGTATATTTGGAAATGTAGAATTATAATAATAAGTTCCTTTTAAATTATAGTTGAAAAGCAATGGAATTCAGCACCCGATTCTTATCGCTGCTGGCGGAGGTGGTTTAGGTTTAGGACAAGTCTCCGATAATAGTCTTCAGCATGGACGAGGGCCTGTGCCATTTGGGAAACAACCGCTTCCCAGTCCAATTTTGTCACCGGATGACGGTGAGTAATATTTTCTCCATATTTCTTAGAATGACATTTCAAAACAAGCATATTAAAAAGTAAAACTTTCTCACATTCCTTTTACTTCAGTAGTTATGATGTGACCTTAACTGTTTGAGTACCACGCCTCTTTTCAATAACGCGTATGAAAGTACCAATCGTCGCGATCGCGCTTCTTTCGTTTCAGTTCGAAAACTGAATTACATTTTTCTACTTTTACATGGAAAAATTCTAAACAATGCGATCGTCCCATTTTTCCATTTCCAACAAAGAAAGGTATCGAAGCTGGAAATTCAAAAAATTATGAAACTTTGTGTGTAAGTAGAGTAAGTCAAGTGTAATATATTGTCATTTTTCGTGCCGAATTTCACTTTGATGGGGTAAAGCCACTCCCTGAAAAAAGTGCATATTTTTCTTTCCTATTATTTTGAGAATGGTAGGAGATAGTGAGAAAGTAGGAGAAAGTTTAAACAAAAAATACATTGTTCTTTTACATCTATAAAATTGCAAAATTTAGAAAAATTTTATTTTACGATTTTTTATGGTGCTCCACACCTTCAAAATGAAATTTGTCACGAAAAGAAATTGTAATGTATTAGGCTTTATTAACTATGTATAATTACATACAAAGTTTCATAAATTTTTGTATTTTCTAGTTCGATACCTTTCCTTGTAAGCACGTAATAAGAAATATAAAAATAAATAATTGGGAAGAAAACAACTTTTGAGTAGTGGAACGGTTAATACATGTAGCGCTATTATGCCATGTTCGCTAACCTAGCAGCGAGCATCGTGGAATCCACGTCGTTTGCATTTTTTATAAATTACGGTGTTGGTTTACGTATAGAACCAGATTTCGAAGTGTACCACACTCACAAGAGCATTTAATAATAAACAAGTTTTCTTTATCTTCAATTATTTATATTACAAATTTTCCTCTAACAAAATATCGTCTACGCGTCTCAAGGAAAAAATTAAAAAAATTACTCGGAGCTGGTGGATTAATGCAAATTAATAGTTTACTTGAGTTCGCACTTTGCATTAGCTATTTTAATTTTTGAAATGGGGGACAATATATAATAGAATATTGCAAAAGCAAAATATTAAAAGTTACATAAAAGATATGTTCAAAGTTTCATTTCAACTCATTATGTATAAATAAAGTATATTGAAGTTTATTTAGATTATTTCACTTTCATGTTTAATTATGAAATAATAACCTGTGATATGGGATAGATTTTGCGTAAAATTGCCGGTTAACAATGCGTCAACACTAGAACTACGTACCAATCAAAATGACTGGTTTCGGTTTTCTTGTTTCGCAATTATTGATACTTTCAAAGCATTGAATATTCGAAATGATTTTAGAAACAAATAGTTTTACTTGAATTCTATAACGTACGCCTGAAGGAACTGAAGAAAATCTATTGCTACAATTTTTATACGGATTGCATATCAATCATATTAAATGCTTGATAGCTCGATTGTTAAATAGACCCGAGTAAGCTAAAAGCCGTCACATCAATAACTCACATGGGTAACGTTAAAAAGTGGACTAGTACTGTTTTGGAGTTCACGACTTCAATTTAAAACCGTAGCGTGCTTCTCTGGCAGACAAGCGGGAACAAGTTCTCGCGTTGGAAGTTAACGAAACGACGTTTCAAATTCATTTGGCCAGCGTTCACGTGTCCGCCGTTGCAGTAACTGCGCGTCAATCCACGTTTAGCCGTGACTACTTCGAAACTGTGTTAATTACCTGATTCCGATAGGCGCAGGTCGCCCTGGCGGCGGGTGGAATGGATCTTTAAACAGCAATAAGGGTGAGCGACCTACCGCCGGAGCGCCTTTGATTCACGGCGGTGTCGGAGGAATTGGTTGCGCACCGGGCAATCACAGCCACGGCAATGGCGGATTCGGCGGCGGAGGTGGCGGATGTCTCACAGGAGGCGGGGGTGGTGGTTACATAGGTAACAAACGAATCGATATCATTCCGTCCACGTTTCTCCACTAAATTCAAAGTTACAGCTGCTCTATTGAAGCGTGTTCAGCTTTACAGTGATGCTCGCTTAAATTCCACAGAAATCTGCTCGGCTTAATTTCACTGCATCATCCCCAGTCTTCGCCTAGTGTACCCCATTCGTAGAAAATATATTTTCAATCCTCAATTTTAGGGGGTATTTTCACCCCTTCGAACTGTATGTTGGCCGATACGAAAATATACGTACCAACGAGAAGATACGTATCAACAACGTTCCCCTCGAAATGGGCAATTTAGATTTCTTTTATATATTCCAATTTCAAAGATATTGTAAAAAATATACTTTTAATTCTCAACATTGAAGGACATTTTTTCCCCTTTAAAGTGTATGTTGGCCGATAAGAAAAAATACGTATAAGATATTTTCTTGAGAATTATGCCTCATATAAGTTTCATCAAAATCTGCGTGTACTGGTTGAAAAGGTTCCCTTATACAGTTCAAGTGAAAATCCTTTTCCATTGGATATCCAGTGATGCTCGCTTAAATTCCATATAAATCTGTTCTTCTTAATTTCACTGTATCATTCCCACTCTTCCCCCACTATTCACTATCTCGAACTCAGTGTAACGTGATCTCAGTACACGGGGACAAATTTCAATTGCAATTATTTTAACTTTACCTTCTCAATCGTAGTACCAATAGTCATCCAAACATGACGTAAATCGATCTAGATTCATTGAAAGAAGATTCTTTGGAATACACGAAACCTTTAGCAGATGAAGCTATATTATATATCAATTGTTTAAAGAATTAATAGAAGGAAACTACGTACTGATATCTTTCTGCTTGAGTAATTAAATCGTTTGTCTGCTACGTACTGTTCTAAATATGAAAATCTGATTTTCCCTTATACTTTACATGTAGTCAAAAGTACACGAATTTTTTTTATGGTTCCCTACGAATATATATTTATTGTCATAAATCTATTTTATTTTTTGTTAGGTGTCAATAATAGTTACGGTGTATTGGTTTTGTTTAAAAAAGTGGATCATCTCTCCTCGACCGACTTTCCCTGAATGTTTATATTTTTCGTTACACTTTACATTTAATCAAAAAATTCAAATGAGTTTTTTTTATGGTTCACCACGAATGTAATAATTTAGGAGGTCACATGGGTCACGAAGTATCCGGGAACGGTGAGGGTGGTTATTCGTACGCCAGCCGTGAACTTACGCACGTGCATTACCAGGTAGAAGTAAATCATAAATCCGGTGAAGTGTACATCATTCCCGCTATCAGTGGTTGTGGCTGCGATTTCCGTTGCATCGCCCTGGACCCGCATCTCAGCTTGACAGAATGCATATGCCCACCTGGATGGTTACTGAGTAATGACTCGATACACTGCGTCGGTAAGTGGTCGAATTTAATTTCTTTTTCTTTTGGTAGATTGTGTGAAAATTGAATAATCGTTACTGGTATAAAACTATACTATTATAAAAATTGTTACTTTGTCAGTTACTACTATGAATTTATAAAATTATAATTATTATAAAATTAGATCATAGTATTATGGTTGGAATAAAACACTTCCTCTTATTAATAATAACACTATTACTAATAATAACACTGTTAACCCCTTGCCCTAGAATATCGTGTCAGACTCATAGTGAAGATTTTAAATAGAATTTAACAAACATAAATATTATTTAATTTATTTGAATGCAAATTACATATTATTCTTCTGTTATCAATGATTATATCTTAGAGCACATGTTTACACAGAATAAGACTGGAATTTTCTCTTATTTTCAATAAATTATTAATAATAAAGTAGTTAGATCGATCACAGTTCAGAAAGAATTCATCGGGCAAGGGGTTTATAACAGGTCTAATAATAAATAAGATTTATCAGCTTTTACATTTGACAATACGAATTAATGTGAATTACGTTCAACTTTGTGTTCATCATTTTATTTTAAATAATATATCTAAAATTTAAATGATTTCATTTTATATTGTACTAACAATGACACAGTTCTAAAGTGGGGTCAGTTCTCATAACAAACGAAATTAGAAAACATTATTCAGAAAATAGATTATCATAATTACGAAAGATGGAAAATATACGATATTCACAATTTGTTAAGAATACTCTCAATCGATTTAAATAATTGTTTTATTTGCAGTGGCCGACGACTCGAAAGTCACGCATCAGACGTTCATGATTCTGCTGATCACTGTAAGCATCGTCCTATTGGTGGCTTTCACCGCCCTCTGCCTACTTCTTTGTAAGAAACTGTTAAACAATTTTATGATGTACACGCTTTTGCACAATAACAAAGTGATTCAATGTTTGTAATTCAAATAAAACGAAAACGTTGGCTAAACATAGAAATTCAAATCAAATCCTTGCACAGCTATAATTCCCTTGCAAGTAGTACTAAATGACATTGAAATCTTTACATACCATTTATCGTATAGTAAAATATCGTATAATGAAAATGATTTGCATTAATAGATAATCGTTATCAAAGTCGCAAGGCGCTTTTACGTCGACGACAAGTCATGTTCGGCAATGGTACAGAGTTAACGTCGTTACGCGCAGTCACTGACACCATGATGACAGAGTTCAACCCTAACTATGAATTCGCTGGGAATCTATACAGCTTTAAGGATTTGCCGCAAATACCTCGCGACTACATCCACTTAGTGAAGTAAGTGCTAATTTAATATTATTAGGTTGGCAAGGCAGCTCTGTCATTTTTCGGTTACTCGTCTTGACACGCTTCGTTAGACGTTAATCCCTTGGACTGCAACGACGAGCCTCACTCGCACACGCTCTTTGCGCGAAACCAGATTTCATAAATTATTATACAAATACGCTATATGGCAAATAAAATAATTTTTTTATTCTCATAGTGAAATTTAATTGAAATGTAATAGGACAGACCGAGACGAATCGCGTCAGTTCAGATTTCATAGCGAAAAACTAATAGTTAGAACTAATAATCAATTTATTTCTCCATAAATTTGTCATTCATAGACATTTAGCTTTAATATCAGCGAACAAAATTTGTTAAAAATTCAAAAATCTTCGTTTCATAAGCAAAAAATCGTATTAACCAATGTCATCTATTATATATAAATAATTAATTTGTGTCGTAGACCCCTGGGTCAAGGTGCTTTCGGAGAAGTATTCCAAGGCGTCTACAGATACCGCCGTAACGAAGAACACCCAGTCGCCGTGAAAACGATACCCTCCTCGTCCACGTCCCAAACCGAAGCTGATTTTATGATGGAGGCTTTAATTATGAGCAAATTCAATCATCCGAATATCGTTCATTTCATCGGCGTATCCTTTGACAAGAATCCAAAGTACATCGTCTTGGAACTGCTCGCTGGCGGCAACCTGAAGAATTTCCTTCGCGAAGAAAGACCACGAGCGGTAATTATTGCTGTTTTTGAGAATTACGGATTAATTTGATACACTTGTTTTAGACTTTTCCCACTTTTATATATTTATGTTTAACATCATCTGAATTTGACTCATTAACTGAACTTTGGATTTTATACATTTGTATCGAAAAAATGTGTGTATAACCCTAGGAACTGGAAAAAAAATGATTAGGACCTGTGAACTTTTTATTTTACTTCAAAAAAGATCTAACTTTATTAATGAAAAGTATTTATTGAGATATTAATAGTCTATTAGCGATTTGCATTTGTGAGACAGTAACTCTTTAGGAAATTGTGATCACTTTATATTATTGAATGTAACATTTCTTGTAATATTTTAAAAAAGAACATAACTGGAATTATTTCTAGAAGCTTTTGAATCACTGTTGGATTTATTTCTAGTAATATTTCTGAAATTATTTATAGAATATTTGAACAATAGGTAAATATTAACGAAAATCTCATGAAATGGTCGCGAGTGTCTTAAATCGCGGCCGCGTTACTACTTATCCAACTAATATCACTTTTGAGTTCCTTTACTTTCATTTAACTGTGTATCGTTCTGAATTATAATTTAAACAGGGACAACTGTTAATTTTTGGCGCTCGTCATCAATGGGATGCATGCGTATATTCCTGTTTTGGCAGGATCGGCCTACTTCGTTGACGATGCTGGATCTAATAATGTGCGGCTACAATGTCGCGAACGGCTGCAAATATATGGAAGAGGCGCGTTTTATCCACCGTGATATCGCGGCCAGAAATTGTTTGCTCACTTGCAAGGAGCCCGGTCGGATCGTGAAAATTGCGGACTTCGGCATGGCCAAGGATATTTACAGAAGCGATTATTACAGGAAAGGTGGTAAGGCTATGTTACCCATAAAATGGATGCCGCCGGAGAGCTTCTTGGACGGAATATTCTCAACGAAGACCGATGTTTGGTGAGTTTCCACTAAGAATTAACCCGTTAACTGTGGAATTTACTTTCGAAAATCTCTTATTGTACGCACAATAAAATAAAAAAATAAAGTGTGTCCTCGCTAAACGCAGGAGAAATGCACTTAGAAAGTCCTCCCTAAGAAATCCCCAAAGTAATACAATAAACCCTATGAAAAATCATATTAGAATATAGGTTAAACCAAACGATTCGCAAAAATGAAAATAAATCTTTGTCTAATTCGTATTAACACTAGCGGAACCAAGCACTCAAACTGACTTTTCAATGTTTGGAGCTCTTCAAATATTGAAAAGAAAAGCTGGTATAAATTTTAGAAATACATATTTATTTCATAAATATATATTTTTAAACTTATTTTTCTATAAGTGATTTATAATAAACATATGGATATTAAAAAATATGGATTATTTTTTTAAGTTAATGTATTTAGTTGAACGCATATATTTTATAAATATATCCCAAAATGTTCGAACATTAATCGTTTAGATTCAAACCCTCTATAAGTATTTCAAACATTATTGCAACACATACTGATGAATTAAAAATTCATATTTTTAATACATTTATAACTATACGCTGTATTATCTGCATACTAAAATAAAAATACTTGTTTATGCGTGTATAGGAAAATCAATAATTGTCGTTTAAAATAACTAATTTATAATAAGGTGACCAAGATGACCTTGAATTTTGCAGATAAACGAACATATGTTAATCTTGATTTTGTCATATTTACTCTTAACGCCAGAATTACCTGATAACTCCAAATGATCCATTTCAAAGTGATTTAGAATTATTAAATGAATTCTATCAAAAAGATGTCTTCTGAGAAATTATTAACTATTAAAGAAATAGCGCTAATTGTACCTATATAAGTACATTTAATATATCAATATTAATATATTAACAACGTTAATGTTAATAGTTATTATCAATTATTCAAAACTAATTAATTCAAACCAGTTCATTAGGTTTCTCAATAATTCTAGTAATAATATGAAATAATTATTTATTCATATTACAAGCAGCTTACAAATAATGCCACCAGCAAACATGTAATTGATTAATTACTTCTCGCAGGGCATTCGGCGTTTTATTATGGGAAATCATGTCCTTCGGTTACATACCCTATACAGGGTGCACTAATAGAGAAACCATGACGATGGTAACATTGGGAGGTCGTTTGGAAAAGCCAGCGGGATGTCCCGATCCCATTTACGGTATAATGACGCGATGTTGGCATCCACGACCCGAAGACCGGCCTAGTTTTACGACTATCGTCGAAAGAATTGGTTATTGTTTACAGGTAAGTAAAGGCATTCCGGTTTATCAAATAATTTGAATTAATAAATCCAAATGAAATTCATATTCACACAGGATCCCGATGTAAAGAACCACCCAATGCCTAACTTTGATATATTACCGATTTATCATCATGAAATAACGATCATGAGGCCGGATCCTGAAGCGGAGTGTATCAATGTACAATCAGAAGTGAGTACGAAACTCTTTATTTTTGTAAAATCGCTAGGAATGGGATTAAATTCGGTAAATTTAGAAAATACGATTCGTTATTACGTCATTAGCATGTATTACATTGAATACGTTCTAGATACTACTTTTGTTCTATTTTTTCTTTACTAGTTTATATTATGCAGGGTGGACCACGAAGCGTGATCAGCTTAGATTATTCTGCTGCTAATAGTTCGATCAGAAATTTTGCTGGCTAAAATAACACGGTTTAAGAAGAGCTTTAAGATGATAGTACTAAATTTGTTGTCAACCATTTTTTCCAAAGTTAATTAGTAGTTAGGTAGTTATCACTACCTTCAATACAAGCAGATCACGAAACACTACTAACAGTTCACGTTCTCGGTTTACCTTCTAAAAAGACTGAAAAAAACCTTCATAATTCTGGAAAAAAAGATTAACAAAAAATTTAGTAGAATCATCTTAAAGCGCTTCTTAAACCAAGTTATTTTAGCTAAAAGAAATTTCGATTGCAGCCCTAGCAGCAGAATAATCTAAGCTGATCACGCTTCGTGGTTCACCTTATGTATAAATATAAATTTTTGTATAAGATTATCATTTATTTCGAATACCTAATAGAAATTTTGAACATTTTGCTTTATTTAAATTCGAAACGATATTTCAAAGAATTTTCAAATAAATTACTTTCGGTGGGTAAAATTTTTATATAATTATTTAAATTATTCATTTGAAATTGCGGTTACTTGCAATTTGTTTATTTAATCCCATCCTTATCAATCATCTGCTCATTTTGATTAAACCACAGATGATTAAGCACATTCGCCAGAAATGGATGTTCTAAGTACAATAAACTAACTAATAATTGTAATACCTACTATTTTATTACTACTTTACTTTTCTATGAATTACTCATTGTTAATACTGTAATAACGTTTTAATAATATTAACACTTATTCAACCGAATAAGGAGATCTCCTACTTTTTATTAAGCTAATTATTTAGTATGTCTAGAACTCTTGATATTGGCAATTCATTAAATACTTTTCTCGCTTTTTATGAACCACAATTTTTAATGAAATCTGTTGAACGACTTTACTTAAATTTAATGAAAAAGATTAAGTGTTAATATTGTTATCCATAATACTATAATTACTTACTACATTACTTGCTTAATTCTATAATTACTTAGGTAGTGTCTATAATACTGTAATTACTTTTTAGTAATACTAGTATTGTTACTGTTATAATACCAATTATGTAGTGTTAGGGGAAAGTAGTGTAAAACGATCAGTCAGGTAAGACAGTAATGTTTTTATCTTTTGATTAAAAAATTGAATAAGATACCTACAGTAATAGATTCACCGTTCCTTAATCTGTATTTTTGACGCTTAAGTTATTTCTTTATCCCATACCAAAGTGTAAATTTTAAATGCTTTTCTAAATTATGATGCGCGGAGCAAAACGAAACACTTTAACACAGAGGTAACGGGAGTCCCTCGCTATTGTACTTTGTTTATAGTTTAAATTTTATATAGCAAATAGCAAAATAGAATCGAAGGTAAAAATTGACAAATTAGATCGCACCAGTGCAGAAAAAGAAAATATATTTATTTGCAATTTTTGTACATAAAATCATATATATTTATAATTTATTCACATCAGGTAACAATTAAATATATTAAATATATGAAATATATGCAACTAGGAATTTCGATTTAATAGAAATAAAGATTTTGTATTTTTATATGATTTTACATGATTGTCCCGTTTTACCCTACCATTTTTGCGAAGCGGATATTTCATTACCTTTAGAAAACCGTATTTTCCTTTACATTTTTATGAAACAAATTTAACATATCCCTATAGACAAAGGTCTATTGAAGACTTCCAAAAAAGGTTTCATTCGTTTATTGCTCCAGATACGTTGTTATTACGGTTCAAAAGGAAACGTCCTATTTTACCCTACTTTCCCCTACTAATATTATTATTCTCCTACTAATATATTTTCTCGGTGGTCGAAGCTCCTGAACAACTTATGTAATTTTCATAGCTGGATGCGTGTGGCTACATGCAACCCAGAATCATTGATCCACGATCAGCGAGTCAGCGTATGGCTCAAGCTGCCGCTAGTCATGTTCCGTCGGATCTTAGAAACGAAAGTTCGAATAAAACAGCGTTCACACAACCGGCCGATCGTCCGCAATGCCGATTTCATTCCAATCTGTACGACTCTAGTACAGATATCTCTGAACAAACTTACGGGGGTAATACGAGTCGCGACGGTTTCGATGACGAGAATGACGATTCAGAGGTACACTTTATCAATACGCAAGAGACTACGCTTCTGCGAGATTTGTTCGTTATACTTTCGTTTCCGTTATACACGGAGCAAACGGCTGTACAATTGGAGCCATGAATTCCGAAACAGCACACGTCGACCAGTCAATACTTCGAGAAAATCAATCTTTCTTTTCAACTTTGTTCATTCATTATTTATTTCGTTGATTCTTGCTGTAAGTACATCTTCGTTACGTGTAATTTTTAACCTTTCGCCGGCAATATAGTTCATAAAAAATGCTATCGAAAAGTTCATTGTTTCTCTAAAACGGAGAGGGCAAACTGCTTGGGTCTACCGCTTAAAAAATCTTGTATCCATAGAAATTAGACATCCCAAGCGACGTTCTTCATGGACAGTTTAATTCCGAGTTTTCAGAGGATACAATAATCTTTGTTTCTTTAATGGTCCATATTGTCGCCCACGTTAATGTTTTAAAAGTATTACAGAGTAAAAACAGAAAAAGTATACATACTTTGAGATTTGTTTATAATTTTTTTTGTACACTTTATTTTCAACTAATATAACCTATTCGAAAATCTCCCAAATTGAAGACTTAAAATAATAATACTTTTTTAAAGGCTGGCAAATCTCTTCACATTTTTTCGAAATGTCTTATGAGTAAAACCCTACACCTTTTTTAATATTTGTTTGTTACAAAATTATGCATTTTTAAGCAAAATATTACTTCTTCATGACCTCTAACTAAACTAATATGAAGATTTGTCTAAATTGTCATTTGTGTATTAAATTAGAGACCTCAGTAACTATTTTAGAATTTTTTTCAAATTTCTGCAGAGATTATAACAATGAAAAATCAAAGCTGACCATTTATAAATGATCTATATTGCCAACTATGTCGATGAAAAATCATATTGACATATTGGATAATATTATTAAACAGGTCTGAGTAAGTTAGAAACTGTTAGATTAATAACTTATACAGATAACGTTGAAAAGTAGACTCGTGCTATTTTGGAATTCACGGCTTCAATTATATTTGTAATCCAATTGATCATCGTATCAGTTCATTTACGGTTTATTCATTTCTTTTTCTTATGGCACTGTTTGCTGGCCGTTCTTAGCCAACGCAGTTTTCTTAAGTTTAGTAAGTATTATTAGCTTGCTAATTTGCGAAGCCTCGTTCTTTTCTATTACAGTCTTTGCAGCTCAACATCGTCGTCGTGTTCTACGAGTAGAAATGTAAAAATGTTACATTAAAATACATTATTGGAGATTATATTCAAACACTATAGTAAATAACATCGATAATATTGGCTATTTCAATAAATACTTGTTAACTCTTTGCACTCGAGAGGCGACTCCCAGTCGTTACATGATTTGATACAGCAAAACTTATAGACTTTGGTATTTACCATTAACTTTTGTATACTGCATCAATATGTGAAATATTGAAAGAAATAGCTTTGTTCCCTGCTTTATGTGTGATCTCTTGATAAATTAATTTTAAAGAAATCTTGTCTACATCTAATTAGAAAATATTGAATATTATCAAGTGAAAAACTTTTGAGTGCAAAGGGTTAATATAGTTAAGGGTTAATATAAAACTTTTAAGTGTCAATGATCGCGTTTCTCCGTTACACTACCTAAAAGTGCCAGCCTATTGGTTCATACAAGAATATCCAGATTCGATACTTTTCTTTGTTAGAGATGGAAAATGGGACGATTGTACTATTCAGAAGTTTTTAATGTAAAAATAGAAAAGCAAAATTCAGTGCCCGAGTTGACACGAAAGAAGAGCGCTTGGCACTTCTCGGACGGGTTTTAGCGAAGACCCGTGGCACTCAGACGGTTAAATAACTTTCTAACAAAGCTTAAATGACATTTCTCACTTTCGCTCGTAGAACACAGTAGCGAATGTTTCGTCGGAGAATCCCGAAGCAACGTATATTACAGGACTCGCGGTTGTGTTTGTAGAGCAAAAACAAGGCTGATAGCTCGAACCGTGATGAGAACAGTGGACATCGAACTTCAACGGACATCGAAAATAGCGGTAAGTTAGAAACCGGAGACAATGGTAACAACCGTCCATCGGAAACCGGGAGTTGCCGAAGTAGCACGCTCGACGTGGCCGACGTTGACAGGAGGAACGGTAACGAAAGCATCACCACCACCGACACCAACTCTGACTCTTTGATCGTTCCTTCTTCGGGCACTCCGCCGGACACGACGAACTCGTCACCGAATACGCGTACCTGCTCCCCTAGCCACGTTGGCCTGAACACCACCACGACCAATGTGAACGGAATGCTGAAGAAAAACGCGCTGAAAGCTGCTCTCAGCTTAGACCCCAGCGCGTTGTGTCGTGGCAAGATACCCTACGAAAAGATCATGTTCCCGCCGTCGCCGCAACGGTCCAGCACACCTGGCAGCATGGAGATCAAAAAGGTAACGCTTAAACATTTTGATAAGTGTGCAAAGTTTCCGGTTGTAAGCCGTGTTCATTAGGAATGATTTCTCGACGTTTCGCTAACATTGCAGCCGGTATTATTAGGAGTTTGAAGACTCACTGATACTTGTCAGCTGTAATGCTAGTGAAATGTCGGGAAATCATTCCTAATGGATATGTCTTACACCCGAAAATTTTGAGTACTTCTCATAGTGTTCCTAACTCTGAAAGTCTCAAACAAAGCTTGAATATTTTCTTTTAACCCCTTGCCCTATAATCTCTTTTATAATCTCTTGCCTTAGCTCTGTCGCTGAAGCTATTGTTGATCACTGGCTAGAAGAAAATGGAAATAAACGTTTGTTTCAAACCTGCTGACCTTAATTTATTAATATGTATTATATTAGTATATTTATTAATCTGTTAATATATATGGTATATTAAATCTCTTAATGTAAGTTAATTTGAAGATTAAGTGTAACAGAAAAATGACAGCTAATTTTGATTTGAACTAAATGAAAGGTTTCAACATTTACAATCTGATTCGATATTATATGTCAAGGGGTTAATCTTGTTCCTGTTTTAACTGTCTCACGATGATTCCATACTTTTTGTATACAAGTTTTCTACCTTTATTATGAGAAAATTGGAGAGTCCTACATATAGTCCAATTTAAAGTTCTTGAACGTATTTTCTTTCTTTTTCTCTTACAAAATCGTCCAAATTACGCGTTGTATGTTCAACCCATTTCAGATGCTTCTTTTTATATAAATCACTCTTATTTGCCATAAAAACTTAGCCTCGTCTACCCTGTGCATCAGTACAAACACGAAAGTATACAATCACAGTACTTTCTAGAATCTTCTAATATTCAAATAAAACGATATTCATGGCTACAATAGACCTCATTAAAACAATCAGGATACTCAAAGTTAGCATTAACATATTTGCGACCAGCAAATTTTTCGCTCTTCTAATACTCATTCCCAGTGAAAATGAAAAAAAGAACTTAAGCTGATTGCTGAAACTTTTTGATGTTGAAACAAGGACAAAAATTAGAAAATTTGTTTTGAAATATGAATCTTGTAACAATCTGTCGTTTGAAATGAGGAACGTTCCGTTAAAAAAGTCGCAAATGGAAAACAGCAGGAGAATCAAATATTTTGAAAATTATTGTACTAACCGAAGCATTAAAAATATTTTCCATAAGAAGCTAAATTAGATATCGGATTCTTAAATACTAGAAAATAACGAAATTATGTACCGACCTTTTATTTTTTAGATATTTAAATTCTTTCCTTGTAACTTTTAATTCGAAATATTTAAAATTAATGTGCCTGTTAAAAAGAATTTCGTCTTCAAAGGATTAGAAGGCGTGATTTGCATCAGTGGTCGTGAATGTGTTAACCTTTTTTACTCCAGAATCGCCTCTCATTGTCAGTCGCTGATTGATTTGACACAGCAAAATTGTAAAATTTGATATTTAACACTAAAACTACCGTGCCCGTCAAAATGACCAGTTTTAGTTTCCTTATTTTGTAATTATAGATAATTGAAAATAAATAGTTTCACTTAAATATTATAAAAAATATCTTAAGAAATCCAGAAAAGATACATTGTTACAATTTTTATAAGTATTAGATATCAACTCCATTAAATGCACAGTAGTTTTAGTGTTAATATTAAATTTTATATAATGCGAAATTAGTACAATATGTGAAATATTGAAATAAAATAGTTTTGTTCCTTAATTTATGTGCGATTTCTCGTCAAGTTGGTTTCAGAAAATGTCTCATCAGAAAACGTTGAGTATTTCCAGTGAAACACGTCTGGAGTACGAAAGGTTTAAGTGCAAAGATGAAATCACTGCGTTCTTCACAATTTCTTAATATTCATATAGAATGCCAATACACCTCTGCATTAGACCTCACAGAAACAATCGATGCACAGGATTAGCGTAACACACGCTCGTGACACTAGATGTCCAATGTTTCTACCAAGAATCTAGCGAAGCTTACCCCTGAATTCGTTTCACCGCAGTTCTATGTATGATGGAACTATCGTCTCTCTGTTCTTCACACGAAGGATCCTCTGGCCCATCAGCTACCAAGAGCAGAGGAATGCTCCTGCTGAGATTTGCATAAAGGGGAGTGACAGGACTCCCCAGCCGGCAGCGTAGCGGCACGTGCAACAAAATCTCTCCAACGATCCGCCACAATAACAACAGTGTCGATAGCAACGCGTATCACGGAGTCCTCGTCACACATGTGGATACGAGACGAAGAGTACTCGCGGCGAGCGCACTCCCAAGAAACGCTCTTGTAAACAGACACCGTGAACGAACTGTAAAATCAGTTACCATTTTGCGCATCCCACTTTATTTATACATCGAACGTCTCATTTCAGTCGTGAAAAACACGAAAATTACGGTCAAATGTTTGCAACGAACGTTACGAAATAAGAGAGGGAGCTTAAATTTGTGTAATTTCGCGGTAGCCTCGAAGAATCCTGCGAAAATCAACTTATAACCTCAAGATAGGAACTTGCTCGATGCGTTGAAACGTTTTCGAAACACCACCGATGTTTTGAATTTCGTTCCATTATTCTCGTTATTTATCCGCGTACGATCTTCATACGAGAGGGAAGAGTTTAATTGCGTTTACTAAATGGACGGATGCGTTTTGTATATGCGTACAATAATCGTAGATCGGTCTGCCGCCGCCAGACGCGTTCACAAACCCGGATGACGCATCCACGACACAAGGAATTGCAATAACCGTCCATTATGAAATTCAACTAAATCTCTTTTCTCGGCTCGTGCGTGGACATACATGCACATACACACACGTACACACACAACACATATATACGTAACTAATATGTACCTCTATGTACACGTCGGAACACAATGGTGTCCGAAGAAAGAATAAAACGAAAGAGCGAAACGAATAGAACGTAACGACACAAAAATCTAGCATAAAGTTCGTAACCAATGAACTTCGTATACATTCCATCGCAGTTTCACATAAAAGATTATTAATGAAAAACAAAAAAACTATATGTAGATTGTATGTATAGCTGTTATGAGTTTAGCGATGTTCCTCCCGCGGAGGACAGAACGGAGGCGCACCGGGTCCTCGTCCTCTGTGAAACGTGTGCAGGTGTCAGAGTCGTCGAAGTCGCGAACCGTGTTCTATGAAATATTTTTTTTATTGGTTCCAGAGCGACTTTACTTGATGTACGATGTAT